GAGAGACACCAGAGAGAGAGAGAAGGAGCAGAAAGAGAGACCAGAGAGAGAGAGAGAGAGCAGAGAGACACTAGAGATACAGACAAGAGAGACAGCAGAAAGAGAGACCAGAGGGAGAGAGAGAGACAACAGAGAGAGATACCAGAGAGAAAGCGGAGAGAGAGTCCAGACAGACACGAGATAGAGAGAGAGAGAGAGAGCAGAAAGAGAGACACCAAAGTGACAACAGAGAGGGACACCAGAGAGATACTAGAGAGACACACCATAGAGAAAGCAGGGACACCAGACAGACACCAGAGAGAGAGAGAGAGAGACAAGAGAGAGCAGAAAGAGAGACTAGAGAAAGAGACCAGAGAGAAACACCAGATAGACACCAGAGAGAGAGAGAGACCAGAGAGAGACAGCAGAAAGAGAAACACCAGCTAGACACCAGAGAGATACCAGAGGGAGAGACCAGAGATAGACACCAGAGAGAGACACTAGATAGACACCAGAGAGAGACACTAGATAGACACCAGAGAGAGAGACCAGAGAGAGACAGCAGAAAGAGAAACACCAGCAAGACACCAGAGAGACAGCAGAGAGAGAGACACCAGAAAGACACGAAAGAGAGACAGCAGAAAGAGAGACCAGAGAGAGACAAGAGAGACAGCAGAAAGAGAGACCAGAGAGAGATACCAGAGAGACAACAGAGAGAGACAGCATAGAGAAAGCCGAGACACCAGACAGACACCAGAGAGAGCGAGAGAGAGACCAGAGAGAGACAGCAGAAAGAGAGACTAGAGAGAGACCAGAGCAAAACACCAGACAGACACCAGAGAGAGAGAGAGAGACCAGAGAGAGACGGTAGAAAGAGAGACCAGAGAGAGAGAGACCAGAGAGAGACAGCAGAAAGAGAGACCAGAGAGACACCATAGAGAAAGCGGAGACACCAGACAGACACCAGAGAGAGAGAAAGAGACCAGAGAGAGACAGCAGAAAGTGAGACTAGAGAGAGACCAGAGCGAAACACCAGACAGACACCAGAGAGAGAGAGAGAGATCAGAGAGAGACAGTAGAAAGAGAGACCAGAGAGAGAGAGACCAGAGAGAGACAGCAGAAAGAGAGACCAGAAAGACAACAGAGAGAGACACCATAGAGAAAGCCGAGACACCAGACAGACACCAGAGAGAGAGAAAGAGACCAGAGAGAGACAGCAGAAAGAGAGACTAGAGAGAGACCAGAGCGAAACACCAGACAGACACCAGAGAGAGAGAGAGACCAGAGAGAGACAGTAGAAAGAGAGACACCAGCTAGACACCAGAGAGATATCAGAGACATTCCAGAGAGAGAGATCAGAGAGAAACACCAGAGAGAGACACCAGATAGACACCAGAGAGAGAGAGAGAGACAGCAGAAAGAGAAACACCAGCGAGACACCAGAGAGACAGCAGAGAGAGAGACACCAGAAAGAGACACATCAGAGAGAGAGAGACAAGAGAGAGAGCATAAAGAGAGACCAGGGAGAAACACCAGCTGGACACCAGAGAGATACCATAGAGACCAGAGTGCCTCACTGACTAAAGTAAAAATGTTACATTTCAAGGCAGCTTCATTAACTACAGTTTGAACAGTTGGTCTTATTAACAGAAGTGAGGCATAACTATAACAACAATCTTCTTTATTAACTATGAACGAAACAACAGGGAAACTTCTGCTCCTGCTCAAACTTGAATTACACATTTAATTGTCCACGCTCTCTACATCTTGCTGAATACATTGGGCCTCATTCACGAACGGTTCTTAGGAACAGATTTGTACGTAAATCCTACTTACGCGGTTTTTACGAAGAAAGTGGCATTCACAAATATTTCTCGTAACCAGAATTTCTCTTGGGCAAGTACAAATCCTACGAGTCCTCAGGAGCACTCGTACGCATTCAGTGCCGACATGTTCACACGCGGGGGTTGTCCTCTTTGGTGAAGTTGAATAAAAATACAACATTCCAGTGATATGTCCGTCATATCGATGTATGTATTTATTTATTTGTAGTAATCTTTATTAGTAATCTTTATTTATATACCGCCTTTTTCACTGCAGATCTGGCCTACTTTTTAATTCATTTTGAAATGAAATGTGCCAACGCTTTATCAAATACATTGGAAATCTTGCCGTGTATTAGTGACCCCTTCCTATTTATAGGGGGCATTTCTTTATCCACGGGCCACAGAACAACGGCATATATACTGCTGCTGCAGGAGGTTACTGGGTCCGCGCTGAGTCTCTGCGCTGGTCTCTCCCATGGATCTATACGGGTCTGCGCTGGTCTCTCCCATGGATCTATACGGGTCTGCGCTGGTCTCTCCCATGGATCTATACGGGTCTGCGCTGGTCTCTCCCATGGATCTATACGGGTCTGCGCTGGTCTCTCCCATGGATCTATACGGGTCTGCGCTGGTCTCTCCCATGGATCTATACGGGTCTGCGCTGGTCTCTCCCATGGATCTATACGGGTCTGCGCTGGTGTCTCCCATGGATCTATACGGGTCTGCACTGGTCTCTCCCATGGATCTATACGGGTCTGCACTGGTCTCTCCAATATACTGGTCTGCACTGGTCTCTCCCATGGATCTATACTGGTCTGCACTGGTCTCTCCATACGGATCCGCGCTGGTCTCTCAAGTCTGGTCTATGCGGTCTCTCTTCGGTCCGCGCTGGTCTCTGCGCACCGGTCTCTCCAGTCAGGTCACTACAGTCTATGCGGTCTCTCCAGTCAGGTCACTCCAGTCTATGCGGTCTCTCCTATAGGTCCGCGCTGGTTTCTGTGTGCTGGTCACTCCAGTCTCTCCTCGGGTCTGCATTGGTCTCAGCGCTGGTCCGCGCTGGATCTCCTCCCAGGGTCCAAAATATTTTGAGATTAATCTCAAAACATTTTGAGATTCATCTTTAAAATAATACATAATATATTTTTAAATTAAGCTCATAACATTTTGAGATTAATCTCATCATATTCTTAGATTAATCTCATAATTTTGCTAGTTCGACTTTATTATCATAATATTTCGACTTTTAAGTCAACATTTTATAACTTTATTCTCAGTCTGGTAAAAGAAGAAAAAAGGGTGACTTTTGCTCCGTGTAAAGGCCTGTTGCTGTTTCCTCTGCCGTCTGCACACGGCCCTGCAGTCCCTTATATGGGCATTAGTGGGCGGTTACTTATGCTAAGTACCTATGCTAATGAAGCACCTGGCACGCGCGCTGTACTTACGAGGAAATGGGATTCATCAATCTGAGAGAACAGCTGCGAACAATTCAGCGGCTTACGAGTGCGTTGATGAATCCCACGTGGGGACTTCTTAGAAATCTACTTAAGGACAACTTGAGAAGAAAGTTGAGTAGTTTCTTACGAAGTTATTCGTGAATGAGGCCCATTGTCCTTATGAATATCCAATGGGTCAAAGCCCACATACCAGTCTGTTTCCTGCAGACGCGCTCACCCATCATATCCCCCTCCTCCTCTTTCTCAGCTCATCACAAGGAAGATTTTCTCTCTTTACCGAGGAGGCCAATAACAATAATGAATAGAGGCCCAGATCCTGCCTAGCGCACACTTGTCTATGTTTTTCTCACACTTATGAATAGAAGGACCAGCAGCTGTTTGTGAAGACACCAGCTTCCTGACACTAGACATGCGTGGTATTGAAATGCTGATGAGGCCTGATGAGACACACTGCTGTATTGTGAGTGTTGTATTGTGCATGTGTGCGAGTGGCTTCTAAGAGCACTGGTGCAGTAATGAGAGAGTAACAGGCTCTGCAGAGGAGGCTGGAGAGTCTGCAGTGCCAGGGCTTCTGCTGAGTCAGAGCAAGCAGCAGCGATGAACCAGCAACAAAAAAAAAACACACTGCGCCAAACACTGACACCTGGTGGCCGTTGATTGAAAGATTTGTAACTCTCAACTAAAATAAAATCTCTATAACTTTTGCATAATAAAGAAGCACGATTTACGTATAAAATCTCTGACTTTACCATAAAAAAAGAAATAATTCAATACTGTCTATCCTAATGCAATAAATGTGTAGTTAGCAGCATGAGGGTATGAGACCAAGTGACTGAGTAAAGTGACAGTGGACACATGTGGTTCTATATTGCACATTCTGACAAAAAAATATTATGAGTACAGATGAGTAAAGTAAGAAGTTGCCACCTCTAAAGAGATTTGGGGAGTTTTATTGTTTTAATGTTGTCTGTTTCTAGTGTGTTGTGTCTTGGTTATTTCTTGTTCTGGACTACAGGTCTGCAATAAAGGTATCTATCTATTTAGTAGATAGATAGATAGAGATAAAGTGACAGTGGATACATGTGGTTTCATATTCCACATTGATGCACCTGCACTGAATTGACAAGAGCCATTTTTGTTGTTGTCTGATAGCAAAGCAGTTTGAAGTCAATTATGAAAAATTATGATGACAAGGCCCTGCAACAATTTTGATGAGGAAGTAATATGAATAACTCCACATTAATGACCTGTATCAATAATGCGCAATTACTAGAGTTGGACTGCACGATTAATTCAGTCTGTGGTCCAAAGGAGAAGTATGACCAATGTCCATACCTGTTAAAAAAAATTACCTTAAATATCTGGTATCATCACTGTCATTAGACCCTCCTGCATCGGCAAGGAACAACTCAAAAACCCAGTGAAAAAAGTAAGAAACCTCGGGGAGGCCCAGGGATCCGCTCACCCACAGACGGAATAGGCTGTAGATCCAAGACCCAAGCTGTAGAAGGGAGACTGAGGCTGTGTGAAAAGTTTTGAAAGTTCTAAGTTTACTTTGACCCCTTTATTTTGACTGTCTTCCCTGTGGTGTAAAGACGACACGGGTCCAAACAATGCTGCAACCGTTCTCTCTGTCCCTGGTTGACGTGGAATTGTAGTATAAGAATAAGTGGCTCTTTTTGTCCGATTGTCGCTAAAACGCACACTAATCCCAAATGTGACTTTTTCTCTGTCTTTACAGAAAAGCTGTACTTGTCCACCGGCCGGGAGCTTCGCAGAGCCCTGTTTTCCCTCAAGCAGATATTCCAGGTAATGATTGAGTTACTCTGACACAGTTATTCGGTCCGTTATGTTAATGTCTATTTGCACTCTGCCTTTTGACTCATTTGCACTCACTCAACTATCAGATTTGGAGATTTTAGCCTGCAGACACGAGAGCGCAGCGGTGCAGGAGAGGGTGGCGTGGATTTCATTCTGAGAAATAATAAACAAAATTGTCCGGACATATTTGTTCAAACTTACAAAAGAAATCGGATACTTCGACTCAAGTCAGATATGAGCTTTAGCCCAAGCCATACATTTGAGAGGTTACGTTCATGTTGTAGAATTGTATTTCAGTCGGAGGACAGGTGCCACTGCAACTCAATGGGAAATATATATAGACATGTATGTATATTTTGTATATATTTATGCATTTGTCTACTTACATCACATTATAAAAGAAGAAATGTCAAAGTAAAGAATCAAGATTTTGTGTAAGGGCTAAGATGAACACATTTGTTCTTTAAAGAGCCACTAATCATCAAAACTACTTTTTAACTAATCAAAATTGAATGTGTAAAATAATAGTACAAATAATAAATGCAAAATGTATATTGTGTTTAAATAGATCTATTTAAATATTATGTAATACTATAATATAATATAAAAATAACTTCAAGCGACACATTGCTCATTATTTCAGTGTAAGTTGTACATAGGATTTCTCTGTCAAAAGTAGTGTATTTCTTGTCGTCTATAGAGTCAATGACAACACTATGGTTTTGCAAGACACTCGGGGCGTGAGATGAAGCTGCAATTCTAAATACTTTTCACGGCATTTCACCAGTGACATGACCTAAAACATAGATCGTTTCTGTAAATGATAGATAATTGGTCAGATTTATACAGCACTTATAGCTTTCAAGGCTTTGACTCACTACACACTCTCAAACACCAAACGCACAGAAATAACTAAATAAACAGCTCAAAATACCTACAATAGATTTAGAATGTGTTGAAATACTTTACTGTTTTACATTATATTTCACCCATATTTAGGGGATCTCTAACTAAAAGCTTTAAGATTTTTTGCGCTATTTTTCCACACTTTCTCCCCCCCCCCCTTCTTACTTCCAGTGTAAAGCCAGCGTCACATATGAAAATGAAATCACGCGTCCTCGCTTGACTCGAACAAGTGTTGAGCACATGTATTAGTCTCCGAGCTGACATTTCTATATTTTATCTTGTGATTTTTAGAAACGTTGCCAAATGACTGGAGTATCCATTACAGATCTATAGCAACATGCGCCTGTGCCTTAGAAAGTCCATCACCGTGCATTGGTCTCATTGGTAACAGTGCAGCTCTTAATATTGCAGAAACCTCAATGTTGTTTTAAATTAAAAAGCCACAGGCGGAAATAGGGGAGGCAGATGGCTTTCTAATTGACACGTTGTAAAAGAGAGATGTTAAATCTTAGCTGCTGACACATAGCGCTTTGTTTGAGTATTGTGAGTAGGGGAAGTTGGAGTTAATTCACTCGGATCTCGATAAAGGAGCTTCCTCCGTCTTGTAATCTAGACACAAGCTCCAAGGTTTACAGCAAAGTATATATGCATCTGTTTTTCCATAGTTTTTTACAATGGATTTGTTTTCCCCCATTTATTTTTTGCTACATTAAATTTGATAAAATTATTCCCCTCTTTTTCAGACTCAAATTCAATTATTAAAATATCAATAGCAATTCTACATTTATGGATTTTATCAACATTTATGGATATTTGCCATCTGCCCCTTATGGACCAATGGCTCTATGTGTTGTTTATAAATGTATTTCTTGTGTTTGAACTGTTTGATATGGTTTTGTTAAGTCCTATTTACGCCTTTTCTGGACACCCAAAGAGGCCCGTCTGTGACACTGGGCCATTCTGACTGTCACCAATTATACACACACACACACACATACAGTACACTTGATCATGTCGGGGAAGTGTCTTGCCTAAAAACACACCGTCCAGTGTGGAACCTGGTGTGCCCAGAGTTCTCCCATCACAGTACTAACTAGGTCCTGCCCTGCTTAGCTTCTGGGATCTGGTGAGGATAAATATTTGTGTATATATTTCTTGCTACATTGTTGTTGCTTTATGCACTTTTCTTGGCAATGCCATGAAGTTGCTTTAATACGGTGAAAAGTCTAGGTGTTTATAGTGACTGAGTGAGAATAACTCATGCAGCAAGAAGGTAGAAGTCGGCCCAGATTTCTGTGTGGTTCTGTGTTGCACATTTCTCGACACCTCTGGGTGGGTTTCCTCCGGGTGCTTTGGTTACCCCCATGCATCGCCCAAAACATGCTTCATAGGCTCAAATGCAGAGAACCTATTTCCCCATGAGGATGAAAAAAGTATAGATTAGTTCATAAAGATTGTGCAAGAGGCAGGTGGTCGTTTAAATGTAATCTCCAAATATTTTTTGGAAGTAATAAAATGTCAGTCAAAATGTGTTGTGTGTCTTAGAAACAAGCCACATCTTTGGAGAGTACTAAGGTATAAATGGTTCAAGGTATTTTGGCCAACTTTAAAAACAATAAAAGTGCTTGTGGCTTTAATTATGTGTTCTATATTTTTTGTGTTTGAACTGTTTAATTCTCTGATCTGTGTTGGCAATTTCAACGATTTTGTTAAGTCCTCTGAGAAAACTACTGTTTAGGGCTATACAAGAAAGAACTCAAGCATGGACCAGGCAGAACAAGGCCAACACTGGTTATCGTCTCATCATTTGCACAAAGGAAACATTCACACGTTTATGTCAAAGGCTAATCTTTTCTTTCGCAGGATGACAAAGACTTGGTGCACGAGTTCGTGGTGGCCGAGGGGCTCACGTGTCTGATCAAAGTGGGCGCTGAGGCCGACCAGAACTACCAGAACTACATCCTCAGGGGTAAGCCTTTCCTCACACTTCACATTCAGAGCACGGGCCCAAGGAGCAGACCATTACTCAGCCCCCGGGAACATGTGCTTATGTATACGAAGGAAATGGATGGTCCTTCCTTTTGGCTCTCCACTCTCTCACAATCAGGACTTTTAAACAAGCTGAAAATCTGCAATCTGGATGATTTTGAAAACATTTAAATACGTTTGGGGCAGCAGTCAAAGCAGGGACTCCCAGACTTGACCCTCACTAGACACTTCCTTCAGTCCATTAAAAGGAATCCAGAGGTGTATCTATGCAGCTGTGATGTGGGTGGATATTTTTAAGCTTTGGTTTTGTTGAATTCAAACTTATCTGAAGGTTTTTTTTCTGCAGTAAAAGTGTGGTCCTCAAATCCAGCTCTTGTTCTGCCCGTCTAATATCATACACATCCTCTCTCCTCCTCTACTAATCTCAAGATCGTAGGTGTATGGCTTCTGCTGCAGATTATAAGATGCATTCGTTTTCATTTCATTTTCTCTACACATTAAACTGAGAGTAAAATGTATGTGCTGAGCCAAATTTGCGGATAGCAACGGCATAGCAACCAAAGAGCTACTCTGGATCGGCGCTGGTCTGTTCTGCTTGGGTTATTTGTTTGCCTACACAAAATCTGGGGACAGACTGCACCTTATTGGTCAGTATTTATATTGTTTTAGTTTTGAGCCCCAAATTGTGTTTAGTGTGATGCAGACGGTTATTGAGTAAGAAGAGTTCACTTTTCAATGTTTTGAATAGGAGCCATGAGCACATAGCAATGAGGCTTATTGAACTGTTAGCATTGTCCATTCATTGACAGTCTATGGGGAGTGTCCGGTCAGTCTGTATTCAAAATATTGTCTTTTTTGTCAATGGCAAAAAAAAACTGGGGAAGCCTGAAACATGAGTCACATGTGTTTGTTGCAGTGTTACTTGAATTTCTTTTTTCAAACTGAGACAAGATCATGTTAAGGAAATGAAGTCAGATTAATAACTTCTATGAAGTCAGATTAATAACTTCTATCTTCAATTATGATTTATCGTAAGGGCCTCACCTGTACTCAATGCAGTTCGAGGCAAAGTCTTTAAAAGTGGCTAATTTATGTGCCCCCTGACGATGAGGTCACTAGTGCAGGTCAGTGTGGAGAAGTCTGAAAGTGTCATTTTTGTTGGAAAAGTCTCCGGTTCACAACCTGCTGTGAGGGGCAGCTCACACACGCTGAAGTGGCTCGCAAAGTACAAGCAGGATATTGTGGATCATAAAACTAATTTCCCCCTCTTCACCTTTACATTAAACATCAGGATTTCTGCTGAGATCGTCATTTTTTAACACCAATCATTTTTGATCGTGCAGTCATCACTCCACAAGTAATTTATGTGGGAATCAATACAGTATTTCAAAAGTAGGATTTCATTTACAATCATTTTTTATTGCCATTGTGAGTAACAGGAAGTCACAAACTAGGAAACTGCTTTGGCTCTCGGTGCAAACAAGTTACAAAAGTATAAATAGAATATAGCCTGCATAAAATAAATATAAAATTAACAAAACATTTACAATTGTTCAAGAAATCCATCCATCCATTTTCTTCCCCTTAATCCATTTCTGGGTCAGGGGGGTGGCAGTCAGAGCTGCACCCAGTCCACATAGCACCAGCCCCTCATTGATCCTCCTGCAGGTGGTGAGTCCCCAGGAGGTGAGATTTTGGGGGCTTTTTAGGCATAGTGGGGTTAAGTGTCTTGCCCAAGGACACAATGGAGTCGGGAAGTAGGTCTTACGGTGGAACCCACGACCTTCAGGCCCAAAGGCCAATGCTCTACCAACTGAGCTACTGTCGCCCTTGTTCAAGAAATGTATCTACATTTTCAACATTCTTCAGTCCACTCAGACCAGATACAAATTTAGCATTAAGCAATTCTTTTTCCACATAAAAAAATCAAACATTTTGATAATGTCATCACCGTGCGGAATGAGAGACTAATGCCCACAAAAATTGTCACAAGCGCTTTGTGACTCTGGTCTGTGAAAGGCGCTATATAAATGAAGATTACTTACTACTGTCTATGTTGAGCCATATATTACATTTTAGTTTACATTTGTGAGACACCAGCTTGCCTTAGCAACCACCTTGGTAACGCATCTGCCCCTTTTTTACAGCGCAAATCTCACCCCATCAGAACAATTGCTTATAATGAAAAAATTGGCTCCAGCTAACCCTATAACCCTAACTTCTAATGTATTATATTTAATTAATAGATTTCAGAAATGTCGTTATTGGAGTTCATTTCCAAACTGACTGAATTTTCCTCACTGTAGGACGAATAAAGGATATTGTAATCTTAATAATAAACATTTGATAATGTTTAAATACTTTGTTAACATTTATAAATGGTGTATAAGCAAACTTTATTATAAGATGTGGCCAAAATCCTAACTACCACCAGCCCTATTGAAATGACTGGAATGCACCTTTACACTCCCTTCATATTCCTTTGAGAAGAAAAAGAGAAAAAAAGTTCTGTTTTCTGGATGTAAATCTCTCCTTCTTCTGTGCTGTATTATCCCACTAAATAAATAAGTGGTGTGCATGCTTCCTCATCAGCATGTCTGCAAACCACATTCTCCAATGATCCGGATCTCCGCAGAAGCCCGTCTCTAAACCTACTTCAACTCTTGACCTAATTGTGAGCAGAGCAGCTGAGGAAAGAGCTGCAGAGCACTCCCCCCTGAGCCCAGAGCAGATGTTTCAGGACTCTATGACACCCCAGATACTTTAACTACACCAGTTAAGAAGCACTTTAAGACAAAAAGTTGGAGAAAGTGTGGAAAATTATACAGAAAGTACTGCTGAAGTCCCACACACATGTCCTCAAATGTAAGTATATTCAGACATGCTGTAAGTATTGTGTACGTGATGATTGGCGGGCGATACAGTAGTGCAGTGGTTAGCGATTGTGCCTCACAGCGAGAAGGTCCTACACGGCAAAATGTGATACAATATGAGGTAATGAATGCTTAAATCAAGTGTTTTTATGGTAATTTGAGAATATTCTGACTTTCTTAAAACCACATTTGGGGACAAAGCCATTTTGTCTTTTTTCAACTGAGAAATGCCTTGTTTCTTTTTAAAACAACATATTTTTGCTTGTTTCATTGGCAAATTTTTGAAGGCAGTCAAAATGTGCTCAAAATAACATAAGATAAGATAAGATAGCTATTTGAGCTTTTTTTCCCTTTTTTTCATCAGGTTTTGCAGTGTAGGTTCGCAACCATCTCCAGGCCTTTCTATGTGGTCTTTGCATGTTCTCCTCGTGCTTGCGTAGGTTTCCTCTGGGTGCTCCAGTTTTCCCTACCACTAAATACATGTACAAGAGGCATTTTAATGAGTGAGTGAATGGATGGTGAGGGTTTAGGGCTTTGATGCTCCATAGTGTTCGACATCTTGCTTTTGTCATCACTGTGTGTGGAGAAAATGGACAATAACGCTATACACCAAATTGTAAAGCACTTTGTTTGACCTTGGTCTGTAAAATGCGCTATATAAATAAAGATTTCCCCCCTCCCCCAACATGCAGGCACTATACTGATGTCGCACTATACGTGTGTCTGTGTGTGTATCCATGTGTGTGTTTCTGTGTACGTAGCATATCTGTTTGTTCGTACTTTTGTGTGTCTGTGTATGTACGTGTGTGTGTGTCTGTGTGTGTGCGTGTGTGTGAGCGTGCGCGTGCGCGTGTCCCCCTGTATGTGTGCATAAGAATGATTGTGAATAGATTTCCAATTGCCAAACAGAAAAACACTCATGTCTGATCAGTATTTTTGACGACGAAAATATTACTGTGACATAAAGTATAATATTTCACTAGTTTTAGCACATCTCTGACTTGTTCATTTCATTGAAAAAACAGACATGATTTGAAAGCCTGCACATTTTTACTATCGTACCATCCGCTGTTAATTGTCTTCAATAATCCTCTTCTGAAAGATTTCTGACAGCCATAACTCACGGTGAGGAGTTTAGAGCTGCCCTTTCACAACTTTAAAGCTTGGCAGACGCTTCCATTTTTGGACAAAATAACAAGGCAGTGATGTCAGAAAATTACTGAATATTACTATTATTATTATTATACCACATGAGAAAATTAATATAATATGAGGGTTTTTCTATCAATCACAAACTTAATCACGCTCACAATGTTAGTCCGATCAATTAACAATGAGATATTTTTCCAAAGCGTTTCAGTCCTTTCTCTGGTGGCGAGGGTTGATGCTGTGCGGAAGATTCCCAGAGGAGTAAATTAGGCCTTTCTGGTTTTCACACGTGTTCACAGAAAAGTCTTGCTGTAATTGTGCTTCACATGTGGGAGTTTCACCGTCGCGTCTTTCATGTTCAAAAAGGAATGTGTTTTCAGAGCCCGACTGTCTGCTGTGCATTACACACTTCTATTCGACACTTTCAATGACTTTGTGAACAAAAATAAATCGTATATTGCAGAAACAACAGAATCTAGTCGGCTTTGTTCCCAAAAACGGTCTGACCACACTGGTCCCAATCTACATGCACCCTGCATGAATTATCCAGGGCACTTTGTGACGCTCCCAGGGACATCTTGGAGCAAATGTATTTTACAGTTTCTGTTCCAAATCGCCATTTCAATCAACTTTATTTGTATGGCGCCTTTCCAACACAAGGCCACTCAAAGCGCCTCACAACCCACATAATATCACACAAATCAGAGACATCAATAAATACATTAAAAACAGAATAAAATCACAAGTAATGGAAAAAAAAAAAAAACTTTAAATATTAAAAGCACACACGGGATTAAAATAATAAATAACCACAATGCATTAAAAAAAAGAGTATGTATCAATAAAATCCTTCAGCCGTATGCACAGCTAAAAAGAACAGTTTTTAGCCCTGATTTAAAAATTGCCAGAGTAGATGCTAGCCTCACATCTTCAGGAAGATTGTTCCAGATTTTAGCTCCATAAATCTCAAACGCTGCCTCCCCATGTTTAGTTCTGACTCTTGGAACCAGTAAGAGGCTACCTCCTGTGCTCCTCAGAGTCCGGGCCGGTTCATATGGGACTAACAAGTCGCTCAAGTACCCTGGTGCGAGGCCATGGAGAGACTTGTACACAAGCAGTGCTGCTTTGAAGTCTATTCTCTGAGCCACAGGAAGCCAGTGCAGAGACCTGAGAACTGGACTAATGTGGTCATATTTCCTGGTCCTGGTCAGGACTCGAGCTGCAGCATTTTGGACATACTGCAGTTGTTTTACAGCCTGTTTGGAGAGACCTGTGAGCAGGCCATTGCAGTAGTCTAACCTACTGGAGACAAATGCATGGATGAGAATCTCCAGATCTGATTTAGACACTATGTTTCTAATTTTGGCAATGTTTTTCAGATGGTAAAATGCTGCTGATGTTACTGATTTGATATGACTGTTAAAATTTAAGTCTGAGTCCATTATAACTCCTAGGTTTCTGACCTTGCCTACAGGTTCCAGGGAGAGAGACTGGAGGTGATGAATAACGCTCTCTCTTTGTTTCTGAGGACCAAAGACAATCAATTCAGTTTTGTCTGCGTTTAGCTGAAGGAAGTTATTTTGCATCCAATCACTAATCTGTTGAGTACAGTGAAGGAGTGATTCCACTGGTCCATGTTCTCCTGCAGTAAGTGAGACATAAATTTGAGTGTCATCAGCGTAATTGTGGTAGGATACATTGTTGGAGCGTATTAACTGACCTAACGGCAGCATGTAAATATTGAACAGAAGAGGCCCCAGAATTGATCCCTGTGGCACTCCGCAGGTCAGAGCCATATGATCTGAGACACAGTTTCCTATCTGAACCAAGTATTTCCTGTCTTCTAGGTTTTAATTCTGTACAATAACTTCCAATTCAAAACCAGTACGAAAAGTGGCATATGACGAGCCTTTGTTTTGAGTAACTTTGATGATTATGTCAATTTTTAAAATATTACCTGTTTAAGCTCACTAGACACAAATACAGTTTGTACTTTAGCAGCAGAGAGTATGACCAGAGTAAACAATGGTAATAATAGCATTTGGTAAAGTGACCAATTAATTATCATAACAGATACATGTATTAATATAGTCATAATAGCAGGTAAAGTGACTAGTGAATTATAATAACAGTAACCTCATTCCAAGCACCGTGTTTCTTAAAACACATGTCGACATTTTGCACATTTGAAACTCTCTCTCTCTGGGCCCCAGCGGTGTCTGTGGGCAGTTAGCGCCCCTTCATAATGTGGGCAGGAGGCGGCAGGCTGTCCCCAGTGTGGGCCCCTCACACCTGGCCCCCAGCAGCTCCAGGCCCTGGTCCATCAGAGGAGGGAGAGGGGAGGGGCATATCAGGCTAAGTGGAGCTGAGGTCATCCCTTCAGGGCAACTGCATCTGGAAGGGCACATGTGGATAAACACTGCACAAGTCAAAATATTGGAATTTCTTTCGCAGTATGAAAAATATCAATGTTGTTTTAAAAGATTGAACGATTGGAGAGAACTGTGGGAATGTTCCCAAATTAACAAAAAGGTTTAAAGTGGAATATTTGTTCTAAACTGAAGCTCAAGTAAAGTTATGAAAGCGAACAGTGGCTGAGTGGTTAGCGCCGTCACCTCAGAGCAAGAAGGTCCGGATTTCGGCTTCAGAGCCTTTCTGAGTAGAGTTTACACGTTATCAATCAATTTCACTTTATTTATATAGCACATTTTATATAAAGTGCTGCACAGAGATGATTTAAAACAAAAACTGTCTGTGTAGGTTTCCTCTACCACTCATTAAATCAATCAATTACATTTATTTTTATAAAGTCCCGATTCACAGCAGCAGTGGTCCCGGGAGACTATACAAAGTTGCTGATTCGCTGACTACATTTAAGAAAATAAAGCAATTAGAACAGGAAATTCAATAATAACAAATACATAGAAGCCATTGGTCCAGAGAATAAATAAACACCAATAAAATACATGTCCCACAGTTAAATATACATTTATATTTCAGGACATTTACGAGTCAAGTTTGCGGAAATCAGAGCCCACTTACACCGAGGCTTTAAAGCAAATATCAGTAACTTTTTGAACTGATATCTCGCACCGGTTTGACCCACCCATTCCCACCCACCACTGTTTCCAGATTGGAAGGAATTATTGCCATCGTTTCTCCACCAGCAAATATTACTGGTGGCGGTTATGCCAAGGGGGCAGGACTATATTAAATGTAATGTTTTTGAGGAATACTACAAGGTCATTTGGTTAAAAACATGCATTATTTTAACTATTAAAACAATTGAATTTACTGACATCATCTTTAATAAACAAGAATAATCTAAAACATAGAAAAGGAAAACAAAGACATGCAGAATAGAGTAAATAGGAGTTTTTGTTCTGTCCTGGGGATGCTCCAGGATTCCTCATTAACATAGTAATGAGGAATTTCCAACATAGTAACATAGTGTGTGTTTTTTGACTCATGAGTGTGTTAATTGTTTTGTTTGGTTTTCTAATATGCTATGCTAACTAAATCAACAATTTAGTTAATTCCTGCGACTGTTGTGATTTTGAGATCTCACAAAATATATCAATTCAAAGAAAATTCCTTCTTGCACTGGCCAAAATTACAACACCTCATAGATAGATTTGTCAGTAGCTGATTATAAATGGTTGATCCAGACCTGACAAGAAAAGAGATTATAGATCAGA